AAAAAAAAAAAAAAAAAGACTTCCCACTGTGGGCTCAAAGGTTCTTGCTCGACCCTCAATCCACTCCTTGCCCCAGTAAAGCGGGTAACTGGCCACTGCGAACCCGGTGACTTTCCCCTTCCAATGTCCACTGCGTCTCCCGGTGCATTAGGATCACTGAGGGGACCTGGGCAGAGCAAATCTCCAGGTTCCACCATGTAGCAGGAAGCCGTGGCAGGGTGGGCCCGGGCATGGGTAGCTTCCAAGTGCCTGGCTCTTCTCACACACTGCCAAGAACAAACTCGACAACACTCTTCTACTCACCTTCTCAGCCCGAGACCTGGGGAGACGAGCAGGACTGGGTAATTATTCCAGTCCACCGTTCTTATCCTGTGTACTCATGGAGCTTGGCTAGTAGATGCTGTCTTACATTGTTTTTAAAAATTATAAACTCAGCTGGGCATGGGGCACACACCTATAATCCAGCACTTGAGAGGCTGAGGCAGGAGGATCGCTTGAGTTCACCATCACCTTGACCTGTATGAGCAGATTCAAGCCCAGCCTGCACTCCATAGTGAGACCCTGTCTCGAAAAGACAAAACAAGACGAAGAGCTAATGTCCATAGATTCTCATTCCTTCTTTTTTATTTTATTTTTTTATTTTTCTCATTCCTTCTTAATTTCAGTTGTGTTTGTTTAATCTGGTCTCTCTAAGAATGTGCCTGCTCCCTTCCTCTTTCCAGTAAAGCTGCTGCTAGAAGTCCCCACAGTACACGGAGCAGCCTGGTGTTTCCCGTGTTAAGCTCTGTTCTCACTCTCTGCCCACCATTCCACTTCTTCCGCTGCTCTCCAAGTTGCAGTCTTGGGCCAGCTGTCTCCCAGCACAGGGAAGTACACGGGACGTGAAATCTCTGCCTCATCTTGAATGAAGAAAAGCACTCAAGTCATTCAGGAAACGGCTCAACTAGGAAGTAATCTTCCTGCACCTCCCATAGCAGCACTTGCGTCTCAACGCTGAGCGTCCAAGTGCCCTTTGTTAATCCTCATGCATTTGTAAACCGGTACTAAAGAAACCAAAAGTAAACTCGGGCCACCTAACTTCCTCTTGAGGTCATTTTGTATGAAAACAATCATCTGCACAAAAGCATTAAAAGTGCTGTAGTTAGGCTTCAAGTTTTTAGGGCAAATACAGGCTTCCCTAACAAGCAAAGTCACGGAGCTCAGTGAAGTTTCATCAAAGACATTATCTGAAGTGCAGCGTGGCTTCTCGGACAGCTCTGTGCACACGGCTCTTGAGCCACTCCAGCTGGTCTGCACTGCTGTGCCCTCCTTGATGGGTGTTTGGTTTTTAGGGGTGAAATTTGTTCCAGAGGGGAGGCAATTGAGCAGGTTGATCAAGTGAGTCTGTGTGATTGTGGCCAGTTACTCAAACAGAAGCTGGGACAGGGCCAAAGAGGGATGGGCACCCTCGCTGACTTCGAGCGACTCAGGGCGCCGTCCACAAGATGCACGAACACACCTTCAGGCGCTCCATACCAGGAGCAGCGCGCTCTGGCCTGGGACAGTGCTTATAAAGTAGAAGTCTTTGGCAGAAGCCCAAGAGCTTAAGCAGGACTCCATCTCGGGGCCAGGGAGATAGCTCAGCACTTTAAGCACCTGCCTGGCAAGTGCAAGGACCCTGGTTCAATCCCTGGCACCACATGTTGTGCCAACCCCGCCACTGCAACCAGGCATGGTGGTGTACACCTGTAATCCCAGTGCCAGGGAGGCTGAAACAGGAGGATCACTGCATGTGCTACTACAGAATCTGAACGGAGGAAAACGTAAAACAGCGCCATAGGAAATTTAGGGGAATGGGCCAGGGAGATGGCTCAGTAGAATAAGAGATTGCCTGGCAAGCGCAAGAGCACAAGTTCAATTCCCGCTTCCGCCAAAAGAAGAAAGAAGAAGAAGAAAAAAAAAAAGACATTTAGGGGAGCTGGGAGGTTTAGAAAGAGAATAGACAAAACAGAAGTAGAAGATTAGGCAAAAAGCTGAGAGGCAAAAAGGTAATATATAACTAAATAAGCTAGATTTTGTTAATTATTCAGACAATCTTAATAAACTAAGTAGTTACTAAAAAAAAAAAAAAAAAAAGCTGAGAGGCAACCAGTCAGCCCAGCTCAGCTTTAGGACCTCCTCAGGTTGGTCCTGTAAAAATCTTCCTTTTGTGTCATGGGCTCTGTCTTAAAGAATTCCCTAAATTTCCTTTTAAGCAGGAACATCTCGATACAGATACCATTACCTTTACTTTACAGATAAGGGAAGCAAGGCTCAGGATGACTACACATACAACAGATCAGCACATGACTCGTGCTGGCTGCGACTTCAGTCGAGGTCTGCCTCAGCCCCTGCCCTCAGTTGGCCACCCCAGGCTGCCGCTGCCATACCATCTCACGCCACCAGTCAAGGACCTGCTGCTTGTGGAATCCTGAAACCAACACAGCCACCTGAGTCGTGTGCTGTGCAGAGCGAGTGCTCCCTGCTACAGCTCTGGAACCAGAGTGCACTGAGCAGGTCAGAAGCGGCCAGCACACGCATGGGATAACCTATCTGTGCTAGCAGAATCTTCACCTCCAGAGCCTGGCGGGATGTTCAGTCCTTGCTAAGGAGCAGCCCTTGGGCAGCTGCTGCTGAGGCCACTGCTGTCTATGCAGCTGTGACGGGGGCAGGAGCATCTGCAGAGATCTGCGATATCCACTCGTCGGAAAATGTGGGCCCTTTAAAAATAAACGATCAGTGAGGTTTTTGCAGACCGAAACAGTTAAGCATTTGGTATTACTGCCTGTTAAGCCTCCAGGTCTGGGTAGAATAGGCAGAGATGCCCATCTCTCCAAAGAAGCCAGGAACCCTGTCCTTCATCATTACTAACATGGGATGTCGTGCAGGGAATGAATGGCTCTAGAGCTCAGCTAAGAGTCTGCAGCAGGAAGCATCCAGTGGAAAAGGAAGAGTCTTGCCCTTTCTAGGCCAGTAACCAATTTTCATTTATTTTCATATTTTTGGCTGAACCAGAGGTTCACCCAGTGGTGACAATGAAAATGCTAGCAAAGACAGTCCAGTGAGTGAACCCCAGCACCCCAGTGGGCAGGTGACAGGTGACAGTCCGGAGGGCGGGCAGGTGAAGAGTGCGCTACAGGCCATCCTCTTCCACGTTGGTCTGTGCAATTACAGTGTTAGATGCAGGGCTTCTCTCAGGAGTGTCCGCTGGACCAACAGCTTCTCCTCCACATGCTGAAAGCTTTCTGTTGGACTTTACCTTAGCTTTTCACCAATCTACTTTTGAATCTTTAGCAAATACATTCTATAGAGGTGGCATGGAGTTCTACCTGGTAAAGAGAATGTAATAAACTGCGGAACCCCCTGCTTTGTACCAGAGCCATGCCCCTGCCATCCTTCTGAGGTGGCCCTGCACATGCAGCATGTAGCTCTTGCTATGCTGGTATTTGACCCGTGCTCAGTTTCTGCCAACATCTGGGTCTCGGCAGGCTACCATTCCTTGCAGAGCAGGCTTGGATTTATCTGCAGTACTTGAATACTAAGTTGTGCATCCTCAGGAAATCTTTTGGGGGCCGGCGAGATAGCTCAGGAGTCTAAAGTGCCTGGATAGGCAAGCTTAAGCAAGTGCGCAGGGACCACAGTTTGATCCTCAAATTCTCAGCACTACATGCCACGCCAGCCCCACCCGCAGGGTGGGCTGAGCTGGCCACCAAAAAAAAAAAGAAAAAAAATGTTTTGGGCTAAAATGAATCCTAACTGTAACCTACTCCCACATCAAGCCTCCTGTAGGAGCCCCTTCTCCAGCATAGCCTGGAAGACACTTGGATCCATTCAGAAAAGATCTTTAGGATTTTAGCTCACCACCTAAAAGTAGTGCTCTCCTAGGATTCTTCTCCCTTTTCAGTGTGGGAAGCAAGGTACATCACAGAGCTGAAACTAGAGGGCACGGAGGTCCTAGTGGGGCATCAGTAAAGCCAGAACCCTGCTCTTGGGACTCTCAGAACTCCTACATTTTCCTATCTTCATCCCGATACACCAGGTGCTGCCCACCACCTGGCTTGTTTTATTAACATTTTCAATGCCTAAAAACGTGGTCACGACAGCAGGCCAGCCTTCATGTCGCCTGTGGTCCCTGGTCTAGTGACTGTCACAGTGCGGTGTTTTAGAACTGTAACTGTCCTCCTAGCCACATGTTCACACCGAGCCTCCTGGGGGTACAGTCAGCTGGGCTGACAGCTTTCCCCGCATGGTACTGAACGGTGAGGCAGAGGGAAGGTCGGACTCTGGAAGGAGAACCCAAGTCTTACCACCTACTGGAGGAGGCTCCCTCCTGTTCAGGTCCCAGACCTTGCCCTAACACTGCATATTTAGGGGAACTAGAGGGCACAAGAGCTGTTTCGCCTAAGATGTGGGACTTCTGCATTCTGTCGTCTACATCAGGCACAAAACAAGAGCAAACCAACGAATCAAACTGATTTCAGTCAAGTTTCTGCAAGAACTCCTTTGCTTTGATTCTGCTGTCTTATTTGGCTTCACTTGGACAGAAGCCAGAGCAGAGACAGGCTTTTGGCAGGAGGAATGTATCACAAGGCATTTTTTTTTTTTTTTTTTTTAAATTTGTGGAGGTTCACCGCCCTCCCATGCAGGTGGAGGCTGGGGTGTATCTTTTGTTTTTTAAGACAGAGTCTCTCCCTCTCTGTAGTTTGGGCTGGCCTTGAACTCAGAGTGATCCTCCTGCCTCAGCCTCCCCAGTGCTTGTCTTATAGGCGTGCACCACCAGGTTCAGCTCAGTCTCATTCTGCAGATGAAAATCTGAGCACTGTAAAGGGAAGGGGGCGTGCATCAAGTGTAAAGACACTCAGGGGCAGAACCAGACTCAGATGCTCCAGGGACTGAGTGACCCAAGAAAAGAACACACAGTAGCCATGAGGCACACAGGCCAGCTCTGTCTGAACATGGGGTTGCCTCTCGGGGATGTGGGAGGTGGCAATGCAGGAGGGCCAGCTGAGAGGACAGCACTCTCTTGGATAGCTTGGGAACACCACCCCACTGCTGCAGATCTGAGAAAGCCAAGCCTGCCCCAAGGGGCGCTTTCAGAAACTCCTTCGTACTTGTGGAGGGCACTGTGATCACTGCTGCTGGTGACTGGCAAAAAACCAGACATTGGGAACTAAAAATTCAGCTTACCGGCCTGGAAAAAGGGAGACATGAATGCTCTAGAAACACAGGCCAGGCACAGATTTCCAGCTGCTGCCGCTGTTATGCCAGCTATTTCTTGGGGCTCTCTAGCTGTCAAACTGCTCCCAGTTCCTTAGCCTGGATCTTTACAAAGATCCCTGGTAGCAAATGTTGGTACAGGAGTCTAACCGCTAGAACCAAGCAGTACAATTTAGGAACTGTCTTCTTAGATAAGCTAGTAAAATCAGTGTTCTGCTCCCCAATATAAACAAATGTATAAGAAGATAACGGAGGGTCACCAGGAAGGCCGTCCTGAGTCCTGACGTGTCAGGACAGATGGGTGAGCTACACAGGGGACGTGGACAGAGCGTTTAAGAAGGCAGCGAGGTAAGCCATGGTTAAAGCACATTCTTCTGACAACCACCTCACCTATCAAGAACTGAGGGAAGGCCTTCACCATTCGCCCGCCTCAGGTGAGCTCTAGGCTCTCCCAGCACACTTTTCTCTACATGGTATAAAGCTCACTGAGGCCTGGCCCTGGGACAAGACAGCCAGACAGAAACCTGGCTTTCCAACCTCTCTGTGAGTCTCCTAACTTCTGCTTTTGTAGCATCTTTGGAAACATGGGGGTGCTGATCCCAGTTTTTCTGGACTTCCGGATATGGTACTGTTGCACAGCTATGAAGTTCTGAGACAGTAGTTACTGTAGAGGACCTTGAATTCCCCGACACATTGGAGGATAATTACTGTGGGTGGAGGGGTCCCCTCTGTGAGCCTGTGCACAGAGCAGGGGGGAGGAGGCTGCAGCTGCAGCTATAGCATCCCCCCTCCGCTCCCGTTCCCATACCACTGACTGGTCTCTAGTGCCTCTGTGCTCACTCCAAGGCCAGAGGCTTCGATTCCAGGAAGCAGTGGCCCAGGCGGCTCAGGTGGTGGCACTGAGGGGTTGCTGTCGCCTGGGCATCCCCCACTGTGCCCTGAGCGCAGGTGGTCTTTGAGTGTCTGCTTGTAGCGGAAACTTCGGCCGCAGAGGGCACAGGGGTAGGGCCGCTCGCCCGTGTGGATGCGCTGGTGCTTGAGGAGGTGGTGCTTGCGGATGAAGCTCTTGCCGCAGTGTGAGCACGGGAAGGGCCGCTCGCCCGTGTGCAGCCGCCGGTGGTTGAGCAGATGCTCCTTGCGCATGAAGCTCTTGCTGCAGTCTGTGCACGGGTATGGCCGCTCGCCTGTGTGGATCATCTGGTGGCGGATGAGGGCCGAGTGGCCATTGAAGTCGATGCCACACTGTGGACAGGAAAAGGGGCGCTCCTGTGCATGGCCCCGCTGGTGCAGTAGCAGGCTGAGCTTCAGGCTGAAGCTGCGGCCGCACTGTGTGCAGCGGAAGGGCCGCTCACTGGTGTGTGCACGCCGGTGGCTGCTGAGCCGCGCCTGGTCAGCAAAGCGCTTGGGGCAGTCAGGGCAGGGGAAGGGGCGCTCAGCACTGTTGTGCACACGCAGGTGGTAGGTGAGTCGTGAGGGGTGTGTGAAGGTCCGCGAGCAGTGTGGGCAGGTAGGGGGCGTCTCACCGGCGTGGTCCTGGGAGGCGCTGCCCAGGGTCGGCTGCGCAGGAAAGTGCTTCGGGCACTGGGCGCAGGGCCCAGGGTTCTCGGAGGCATGGCCACACTGGTGGGTCAGCAGCATGTCCTGGCTGAGACTCTTGCCACAGTGGTGGCAGGAGAACACCTGCTCCCCAACAGGAGGCGGGAGTGGGTAGCTTCCCAATTGAGTGAATGTCACTTGCCCCTCCGAGGCCTCGGGCAGGTCGGTGGCTACCCGTCCGAAAGGTGTCATGGGCACGGACTGCTGGCTTTTGAAAGCCACATCTGGGAAAACATCCTTTGCCGCTGCTGCAGGGGCAGTGGAGAAGGTGACCGGCACCTCAGGGCACAAGGCGGCCGGGGCAAGGCCTTCAACTTTGATGACAAGCTCCTCCTCTGAAAGAAAGGACTCAGAATTACCTCACGTCCTGCCCAGCCCTGAACAGCTGTCCCTGCTCCTGACTGCTCAGACGACGGACCTCTGCAGCCCGGATACCAGCCAAGACCCGTGCACTGCTGCAGCATACCCTCAGGCCTCTTGGCTGTGCCTCTCTGACACTGCTCCCTGCTGGGGGAAGAAAAGCCTGGGCCTGATACTGCCCTACTTGGCTTTCATCATTCTGTGCATCAGCTTTTTCTGTCACCTGTTGGGACAAAGCCAGAATCACCTATTGACCTCTGTTTCCCTCTGTCCTTTGGATAGATCCTCCATAGGATCGGCTGTCTCTGCTCTCCTTGGAGACAAAGTACACGTTTCTACTTCCGCATCTCTGCTTACTCTATTTTGGGGTTTTTTCTTCAGTACCGGCAACTGAGCCCAGAGCCTTCGCACTGAGATACATTCTCCACCCTTTGTATTTTTTGAGATGGGGTCTTATGAAATGGTCCAGGCTGGCCTCAATTTTGCAGTCTCCTGTCGCAGGCTCCCTGAGTGCTGGGATGACAGGTGTGCTCCACCATGCCTGCTGTGCTCACTTCTGTAGAACTCATCTTCTCCTTCCCTGTCTCCACATCTTTATTCCCCACCTGAATACCTAAGCTAGAAAGGACGTGTGTTCCTTTGCGTCTTCCCTCTTTTATTAACACCACCCCACCTGCCATTGGCTTGCCATAGCAGACATGCCTAGCAATGCTACATGTCCCCAGGGGAAGCTTCAGGAAGGGCAGAAACTGTACGTCCCAGAGCCTAAAGGAACACAGGGCAAGAAGGCATTAAAAACAGATTATATTACGTTGTATACAGCTGGGTCCCTTACAACCTTGAGACTTATAACTGAAGTGTCATTACATAGATGGTGCTAAATATCACAGTTACTGAGCTATGCCCTCAGCCCCAACATCTGCATTTTACTGTCTTTGCATCTAAGAGTTGCTTGCCCACTTAAGAGCTCATCTTAGCAGCCTCTCTGTTTCAGTGCTAACTCAGGGGACGTGTCTGCCTCTTCCTCCGCCCCTTCCTTGCCTCCAGACCCTGCGCCAGGCAGGTTCTCAGATCCTCCTGGCATGGGTAGGATGGGCCGAGCAGCTCCTCAGCCACCACTCACCTGCATAGGTGCCTTTGTACACCTCGCTCTCCTTGGCCTCCTGCGGGGGCCCGACCTGAGGCTCCTCCTCCTGCTTGATCCAAGACAGGATGTCTGATGTTGACAGTCCAGGCTCTGAATGTGGAGGGGGAAAGAAATGGCTTCAAGGACTTAAACTAGAAGGTAAACATCAGCATGCTGACTTGTTAAATACTATGTTTTAAAAACTTATTTCTAACTCTCTAACTTGTACCTCTATTTAGTCGGCTCATTTAAAATCAAGTCAATCTTTGCTTTGGAGAGGACACTTGAAATGATCTAGACTCAACAGTAATTTTCCTTTTTTTGCAGAACCGCGGATTGAACTCAGATCCTTGAGTTTACCAGTCAAGCGCTTATCCTACAGAGCCATCTCCCCCGGCTCAACAGTAATTTTCACTTGGCAGTTTCAGTGTCTGTTTCGTGGCACTGGGGCTGGACCCACGGCCTTTGCGCTGAGGGTCACTCAGCGCTTTTTATTTTAGACACAGCCACGGCCTCTCCAGGGCCCCAAGCTGCTCGCTGAACATGCGACGGCTCTGCCTCCGCCTCCCGAGTGCGAGGGTCATGGGCCTGCGCCAGCATACCCCACTCGTAGGACTCTCACGTTAACTGCATTTCCACATTCTTCTGCCATATATGAAATAATAGAGCAGGAAAGAGTTTTTCTCTTTAAGTAGAGGGGCCAACAAAGGTTAAATAAATCTCAAATAGTAAGCATTTACAATAAAACATGGTATTATCAAAGCATTGCTTTAAAATACCCAGAAAAAAGCAAAGAAGACTAACCAAGTTTCTGGTCCTTAAAGTGTCAAGTAAAAGACAAGTACATTTTAAGAAACACAAAGCTAGGCCAATTTACACACAGCGCATTTGGGATTCCCAATTTTGGGCTCTTTCACAGGGATCACATTAGCTTTGGTCATTAAATAATATAGGTCACTGTTTCCAAAACTGGGCAGCGTGAAAATGACATCCGCAAGTTCTTCAGGTCTCAGGGATTCTTTGGGACAGAAGAAAGCACCAGCTCTGCAGGTCTCCACGCACACACGTGCCTCACATGCTTGCTCTTCTAGTCTAGGCCTGGGTGCCTTCTCCGGCCTGTGCACAAAGTGGCAAGGTCCTGACAGTAAATTCAAGCTCTCTGAGGTTATTTCTCAAAACGCCTTGCAGACAGGGTGTGGTTTTACTGTCAGCAAATGAGCAGAATTCCCTGCTCCATTCAACACCTCTTAAATCAAAAGCGTTGTAAGCCAGGGCCACGGCCAGAGGCAGAAGAGGCCCAGTGACATTAGGCCCAGGGACTTCCCGCTCTGCTCAGAGGAGACAGTAACCCGGTCGGCCCAGACAGCTGCCTCTCCTGCTGCTCCCTGGCGCTGCACCAGAGCGGCCTGGGCACAGCCCGGCCTTACCTTTATTACACAACACAGAAAAAGGCGAGGGGCCATGAGCTACGCAAGAGGAGCTGCTGACAGCCAAAGGATAAGCTTCCATTTATCAGAAACCTGACTTTCATACATGCTTAACTGATTTTCTTTCACAATTTTCTAAACAATGAGCTAGTGCTCTAGACACCTTCAAATGTGGCACCAGTGTTTCTGAATTTTGTTACTGCTGCTTATGATACAACCTGCCAGAACAAGGTGCATCTCATCAGCTTCCACCACTGCTCTCTTTAAGGGGCCACTGTCCCTTCTTTGGCGGTCGGTCGGCTCACACAGCCCCAGGCCCAGCATCCTCCTGCCAAGCAGGAGAAACCACCTCAGGCTCATCACCTCAGGCTCATCGGCGCACTTCCCGCCAGGGCTCCGAATAGGGGGCGCTCTGAACCAGGCCTTAGTGATAAGGCTGCCATTGCCGGTTTCTGGGCCCTGTCTGTTGGGGGACAATGCCACGATGCAGACTGCTCAGGAAAAGACAAGTACCATGAGCCCCTATTAATATTAGTATTTCTGTTCAGAGGTAATGCTACACTGAAATGGAATCTTTTGATCTTAACTGCTGTCTTTCTTAACCTGGAAAGCCTTAGTTTCTAATGACATTAACATAATCTTTGCTTAACTTGAACATATGACGTTTCAAGATAATAAATAGCATTGGGGCCGGGGAGATGGCTCCGTAGAATAAGCGCTTGCCTGGCAAGCACACAGGCCTGAGTTCAATCCCCGGTTCCACCAAAAAAAAGATAACAGCATTAACAAAAATATGAATTCAGAAGTTTTTATGATTGTCTTAGTACCCGAGACGCATCTCTCTAGGGACATGCAACTAAAACACTGCTTTAAGATCATCTGAAGTAAATCACTATATTACGTTTAGCCACTTTATTAATATTTATTTGTACTGGGAATTGAACTCAGGACCCCATGTTCGCCAGGCAGGCACTGAGCTGCTGAGTTAAATCTCTTGCCCAAGTTACTTTATCTTTTAATTTTTAAATATTTTTTTGTAAATAGGGTTTCACTATGTAGGTTAGGCTATAAAATAAGGTATTCAGAGAAGCCTAGCGCCTATCTCCATTTCCTTTCTCCCCATATAAAGTAGCCATTCTGGGTGGGTTTTATTTATTTATTTGTTTATTTTTGTGGAACCAGGGATTGAACTCAGGCCCTTGCACTTGCCAGGCAAGTGCTTATTCTACTGTGCTATTTCCTGGCCCCTGGGTTTTAATCTTCCACGTTTCTCTGTGCACACATAAACATGTATGTTCAGAGTCATACTTTCCCTCTTTAACATAACATGCAACACCACATAAAGCATTCCATACTTTTTTGTTGTTGTTGCTTGGTTTGTGCCTGAGATTGAACTCAGGACCTTGCACTTGCCAGTAGGCACTTATGCCACTGAGCTATCTCCCGGTAGCATTCCATACTTTGATTTTAAACATTTTATTCTGGAGCTCTCTCTATAGCAGTCCTAGGTGCACTACACAGCTGCACCACTATTCATTCCAAGGCCCAGCGGGTGGGCACTTGGATTCCTTCCAGTCTTTAGTTACAGTATTGGTTAGCTGCCAGCCATAAAAGCTGTGCAAAGCTAAGCAAGTCACTGCTCGAGAAACGTAAGCCATTCTTGTCACCTGAGCTCACTGTGAAAGTATCAGTACTGTATGCTGAACTTGGGACACTCTAAAAAGCTAACCTTTCTTCTTCTCTCCCTTACCTCCTGCTTTTTCTAAATTCCTGAGTCGGAGTCTCATTGTGTTGCCCAGGCTGGTCTCAAAATCCTAGGCTCAGGCAGAAACCCACCGCAGCCTCCAGAGCAGTTGGGACTACAGTGTGTGCCACTATACTCGGCTTCCTTCTCTGTGAGTGGTGAAACCTAACAGTTGTTCTGGTCATTTAACCAACAGGACTAAGAATTTATCTTATTAAAGTGCTGGTTCTTTTGCCTCAGACAAAGGATTACTCTCTGGAATATATAATGAACTCAAAAAATCAGACCCCTTAATTTTAAAGATCCAATTGAAAAATATGCATCTGAGATGAACACGTCTCTCAGACAGAAAACTAAAAACAGTAAATAAATATATGAACAAATGTTCAACATCACTGGTCATTTGACAGATGCAAATTAAAACAATGTTAAAATTCCATCTCACCCCAGAAAGAATAGCTGGTATCGAGAAATCAACCAGTAACAAATGGTGGCAGGGATGTGGGGGAAAAGGAACCCATCTGCACTCTGGGTAGGAGTACAGGCTGGTGCGACCACTGTGGAAGTCAGGGTGGAGACTCCTTAAGAATCTAGGACTAGAGGTTTCAGGCAACCCAGGTATTCCTTTTCTTGGTAGCTTCCTAAAAGAATTAAAGGCATCATACCACCCATGTTTATAGTAGCATAGTTTATAATAGCCAAGTCATGGAAACAGCCCAAATACCTGTCAACTGGTGAATGGATAAAGAAGATGTGGGCTTTTTAAAAATACAATGGAGTCTACGCTTCCTTAAAGAAGGATAAACTTGAGATATTTCTAGGCAAATGGATGCACCTGGAGACTGTACTCTTAAACGAAATAAATTGGACACATGAGTAAATAAGGACCAAAATGTATCATAACTATTGAAAAATAGGAAGAGAATGTTCAAATGTGGACAGTAACAAGGGAAGGGGGATGGGGAAGGAAAGAAAGGAAAAGTACAAACTATGAGGAAAGCAGGAAAAACTGGAAACAAACCTTTTATAAATGGGAGGGGAGGAGGGGTTGAAGGGAGAGTAGGGAAATGTGGGAAAAAAAGAAACCAGTTATATCATGTACCGGTACAAATTCCCTATGAGAAATGTAATCATCATACATACCTAAAACATACCAATAAAATCTCATTGAAAAATTAAGTGGGTGTGCCAGCCCCGTCCCCTGGGCGCTGGAGACTGGGCTGGTGGTATGCGCCTGTAATCCCAG